CCGTTTGCCTTCTCATAATCGTAATAATTTTCATCTAACGTATTTCTTTTTTACTTACATATTTGACGATCATTGAAACAGTTAACGCAAAGGCGACGGGAGGGGGTAGGTGAGACTGAAATCATCGAAATACAGAGTCCTTGCTTCACGGTACATCTTAAAAGGATGTCAATATCATGAACATTATGGAAAAGTTCTGCAATATATCACAACGTTCTGCTGTCTTTGGTCGATGATCACCAATGACGGAAGCTCTGAAGAAAATTTTCAAAAAAGAACCAGGAACGCTCGAACTGCATATAATATACTACGAAACTGTTATCGGTACATACACCAGTAAAATTCTGAGTACGTCTCACAGCTATTCGATCAGTACTGATGCGTCGCAGCAACATGGATCCTTTCCAAAAAGAAAATCAAAGCGTTTGAAAATTCTAACGCAGAATATTTGACTACAGACTGATTGATAATGTTACAAATGCTGAATTACTGAAGGATTAGTATAAACTTTCTTTGTAACGAAATAAACCTAAACTATAACCATCCGTCTGATTATGCACTACGACGGACCGAGAAGCGGTTGATAAATATCATAACTCGTATTCTGTACTTGACGAAATCAGCCACCAGAACTTATGACCAAACAAAAATATGACTCTAAAAAAATTTCAGACAGATTCTTTCCTTCTGTTTCGATTCAGTCTTGTTGCTGAAACTGCCGTACATATTTCCCGCTTAGTTTGCACAATGTGAAAGATCTTCAGGCGATGTCAAAGTTTCATGTCAATTAGACCTTTCAATTCTGAGCTAGTCACCGTTGTTTGTTCATGATTATTACGTTTGACTCGTAAATGAGTTTCGACTTTTAATTTTTTATTTTTATCTGCAAATCAGATATAGAAATGCAAGCGTTTTGTATACTGACTTGTACGACTTCCAACAATGAAGGTTCATATGCGTTGAACGTTATACAGTAAGATAGTAACATTATGCCTATACATCAGTTAATCATAAGTGTATACTAGTTTGTTATAATTGTACTTGGACAGTAAGTTGATTATACGGTAAGACACCTGACCGTTTGAAACCGATTCTTGAGATAAGATTAAGTTGAGAATACGTTCAAATTTCGAATAGTTGTCTGATTTACAATGTTTTGTTCAATAGAACAAGGCGGTAAAATGTCACAACGCTTGTGTCCTGCAAAGACTTGAGCAAAAATTCGATGACAAAACGAGGCGTAAACACGAGTACGTGAGGAGAAAAATAAGCTGGGACAATCGCATATTACGAGAAGCTAAAAAACCTACCTAAAACAGGTATAGAGAAAAAGAAAACTGTCAATTTTGGATGCTGAAGGGAAGAAGGGAGGGGGGTGCACATCTGCAAAGACAGACCAAACTGCGCTGCGTTCAATTTTACCTTCATCCTCCGACGATCGACTTGTAGCGGTCGCCTTAATCAAAACGAAGGAAAAGCCAAACACGACGAAAGCGATTAGCGCGAAGCACAAGAACAGAGCCACAAGAACACGGACACCTGTGGAAGTAATCATAATCAACAACAGTCCAGTGAAATGAGGCGAAACGCGAAATCCTCGAGCCTCTGATGCGAAGCGCTGGGTCACGTTGACCAAATAAGGTCAACGCACGGCCGCCGAAGCCATGGTCCTCGTCGACTTCGGACCGTCGACCACTTGTCCCAAAACTTAGTCAGTTGAGTGGCTCCGCTGTTTGGGTTAGTACTTGACCGTACAGGAACTTCCGCAAGCAGGCGCTAAACCACCACTCCCGCCTTCTCGACTGATGCCGTAACAATGATGCATGATTAACCGAACACTTGAAGAAACAACCGATGGTTAGCACACGCCAATCTGTAAAGAGGCAACATGATGACCTGAAACATCAGCAACTGACAACTCAAAGAAAACTGCAATAGCTATAAATCTGGCAGAGGGCGCCATACACATTAAAATGAGCCCAGGGATTCGACACCAGCTGCATAATTTGAGAAGCTGCCCAAAAGGAGTACCGAAATTTGTTTAGGAAAAAAATTTTTATGAGCATCGGCCAGTGACTTGATGGTGGAAAAAGTTACAGTAGCGGGAATGCCACTACGAGACTGTAACAACGTAATCGAATGTCTTCGTCTAAGCCTTTTTAGCTTTAATTGAGCATACTATGGCTGCTAGCCTTTCGCTCATGAATTAGAGCCTGAGAGAAATTTTGCAGCTTCGCTATCAAACTATTATTTCTTTTCAATTCTAGTACAAGACAATTAAATTGACTTACTCACTGGATGTCATAAAGCGCTCTGATCTCTCCTCGCGCCTCTTATCACCATTTTTGCCTCCTTTTTTTGTAATGTCCAATGCGATTGTAAGTCAATCTTTCTGCCAGGCTTGGCTAGCGGTTTATCGATAAGCAAGACCCAGCGCCGTCGTAGTCAGTTCATCCTTGAAACTATGCAACCATTAATCTTTTCACCTGCCTTTCAGCCTTTTCCAGTAGGAGTTCAGCACATGAAGAATCATAATGCTGATCAGCCGCTTGGCGTTTAGTTGTAGTGCATGGCCGAAGCGTCAAAGTTTCTTTAAGTAACCAGAGAGAAAGTTGCTACTAATCCCTGTTCGATAGGCTTAGCACTGATTTCCTTCTTGATAGGGGTCCATGTTGCTCGGAATACATAAGGAATGGTCGAATAACTACCGGATAGACAAGGAATTGCACTAACGTACTGACAGCTGTTTTACACAGATTTTGCTACAGTATGTTACGGTCCATTCGAGCCGACCTGATTCTTTCCTTAACATCTGCTTCATAACTTTCATAACTGGTGACCATCAATCCAAGAGAGCAGAAGATGACCAACAAAACAGCATATACCTAAGACTGGGGAATTAGGACAACAATAAGGGAAACTACAACATGCATTATCACATGTAGAACGACCCTGCTAGATGGCAGACAAGGTCAACCGGTGTCAACCTGTAATGGTGCCCCTATATATAAGATATCGTGCAATTATAAGTTGTTCGCCAACACAAGTATGTAAAATATCCAATGGCTCCTTCAAGACAATATGTCACATCCTAAGAAAAGAGCAAGAAAACAGTAAGAACATTCTTCAGTGCTACTGTGCCGATACAGTAATAGTGAAGGCTTTACATGAACCCCAACAAAGTAATTTAACGCGGCATTGGATTCTGCCTCCTGTTGTGTCACAAATGTCTGAATCTTAGTTTCCAATAGAAAGCCACAGTAAGACAAGTGCAAAAACCTTGCTTGCTTCTGATGTATCACTACTGAATTTCCAACGCAGATACCTAGTGACAAGAAGGTTCATAGCTTAACCAACCGCTTCATGCCTACATTTAACCAATCGCTGAATTACCATTCATGCAGAAAATACTAGTGATTTCTACTAACAAGGTTTCTATATTGTTTACGACTGATTATCTAGGAAAAGTATACTCTTAACGCAAACCGAGATAGAACGATAGGTTGGCACCGTCGTATCAGTTTCTGAAAGCATGATGCACCTTTCGGTCACTGCGTTCCATCTCAACGGTAAATTTGGACTGATGGGCGAAACTAGTCAATAGTTTCAAAACATAAGAGATATGAGCAAAAAGGAAACCCTCTGCCTGAAAAATTTGAGCTAACGCTGCTCAAAGTGCTTCATGTGTCGTTATCCTGCTGAATGACGAGACGATTTTAATTAATTTTATTCCTAACGAGCTGTGCTTACTTACCTACTTTCACGATTAGGAATTCGACTGATTCTGTTCAAGCTTCTGCTTCCACCTCATAAACAGACTATTCACAGTTATTAGTGACGGCCAGAATGCTCTGTTTGCAACATCAGCCGCGGATAAAGTTCTGGAATGTGCGATCATAGAGGTAAGATATTTATTCATCGCTGCTCCAGGATGCAAGCCGCTTTCAAAGTACTTGAAGAAGATATTTTTTACCTACAAAACGTAAAAAATATTTTAAAAGGATATATTTTAAACAAATCTTTAATAAGCTTCATTGTAAAGGAACAAAAGAAAGACTGAACGATTATAAAAATAAATGATACAAAACAACTAAAAAGCAACATACCTCTTTGCGGAGCGGTAGGAGGCCAAGCGAATCAGCGGTACCCACCGGGTGATTGTGATCAAATACTATGTCTATAACTCCCGCCAGTCCTAAAAACAAGCGGAGGTCAGCTGAGCATCGAAAAAGATTCTGAACATGATCTAGATTCTACCTACCCATCTTTGTATACACATCACGATTATAACTGCCTATCTTCCAGGGCTTGACGCCCACCTTGATTCTGGAGTGACAATTAGTTCCCATGAAGGACTTTAGGCGACGGGGCTCATGGCTGTCGACATCGACTTTCTTTGGACACCTGTTGTGCTGGCACACCAACCTGCGCCCGAACGTGTAATGGCGAGTACACGGTAAAGTGGCGTTCAAAACATAATGGGTATGCGTCCGCCTAAAATACCGAAATGTTTCGTTATATCGCTAATGATCACTTATATTTTTTGATATCATGTTCCTGCCTGCATTTTATGGTCACGCGCCTATTATACAAATTAATCATTCAAGGTGACATTGAATGACAACAGCAGCAGGGATAACAACAACACAACAACCCAAAAGTTGCAAAGTCATCGATCTACCTATTTTTTCTAACAAAATAGCAGAGTTCTTTCACTGGGAAGAGGGAAGGGATAGGATAGCAGTACATGTTTTCATTTATTAACTGCTAATTCCTTAAGCAAGGAATTCACCACTATGCTTCGGTGCGAGAAAAGGGTATCAAGTCGTTGATCTGCAAATAGGTCTTTTGATGTCATCATGCCAAAACATGAAATATACGGCCATTCTACCTGATGCGTGGGATTTATGGCTGCAATACCCCTTGGACCACCTGGTAGCTATTTGAAAATCAGAAAAACGTGCAACTCAAATTTAAATTACAATTTTTAATTAAAAAAATTTTACAGCGAAATGAGCGATTTTCAGACTCTAAATTTAAAGCTTACTGCTCGAACATGGCCAAAAACCTGACTTTCAACATAGTTTTAAAATACAAACGTACCACTTTAAACAGATAGGGTGAGAATTAAATAAACAAAACTATAACATACATACCAAAATAGACTATAGTTAATGTTTTCGAAAATTTACTTTATTCTGTCATCATTTTCAGCAGGAGTGGTACAAATTCGATACTTACAGGTTATAGGTATAACCAAAAACAGATGCTTTACTGTAAACATCCAATTCACTAAACAAATCTATCTGCCCTGAGAATGTTGAATATTGTTTGTACGTTGACTCTTACATAAATTAAAGACCTAAAAACCGGTCTCCTGGGCGTGCTTGTAACCACAGAATATTAAAGACCACTCTTATATACAAAACTGTTATAACCGACTTACTGACGATCGTCACAATGTAAAAAGGATCAAAATCTTTATGTGATCAGCCCTTTATCTCAGGCTGCTTCAGTCAGATCGTGACTCAGATCGCGATAGGTGATCGGTTTAGTGTGTGATAAGGAGATGCCCATCAAACAGAAGGGAAAGACATACAGAACGGAAATAAGGCCGGTGTATCTGTGTCGAGACAGGAATCTTTGGCTATCGTGAAGGGGTACGGACAGCAGCTGAACTCGGTAGAAATGCGCCTGCTTGGACACACATTAAGAAGGAACATTTCCGTTAAAGCTTTGTAGGAAGCACTTTTAGTGTAGCATCAATGTCAAAAAAAGATAATCAAATACAGGTTCCGTTGAGCTTGGCCATGTAAAAAGATGTTTCGAATGCACTGGCAATGTGGCTCAACCGCTAATAGTGACAGGGAAAAGAAGAAGGGGAAGAGAAGACAAAAGATTTTTGCCATAAAAACGAAATTAAACTGGGAAATGACTGAATATTTTACCACAAGCTGAAAAATATGGAAGCAACTGGTTCAAATAAGAGACTTCTCTTAAAGGGAATACGCTACGAGAAATAACGCTCTGCTCGTAACTAGAGTTTCGACTCATAAATTTTTTAACAGATAACTGAACTTTCAAATGGCATGACCGAAATGTGCGGCTGTGCGACGGACTTGCAAAGGAGCAGAGCATTGCGAGCTTAACGTTAGAAAATTAAACTTTTCAAAACAGACGAGAAGACAAGGCTTGATCAGGTGATTCTAGGCAGCAATTCAAATGCTTTAACTCTGTTATACTTCGTAATATTCTTCTTAAGTTCTATGATTTGTCGCATAACATCAGCATATTTATCTTATAAGCGACTATGTTTCAAAACGAGGTGTGTTGCATGTGTGAAGAGTGGAAATTAATACTCAAACATCGGTTGCAATCTTCAATTAGTTCAAGCGTCATTCTCGTCCCTTATATCGTTTTCTGCATTTACGGCAGATTTTCGCATGCGCACTATTGGTGTGCTGAAAATTTACTCATAACATGATAATGGCGAGTCTGTAAGCTGTTCCCTGACCCGTTTTATAGACTCTTTAATTACTTAACCAATCCCTAGTATTGCAGTCAATTTTTAATACAAGATATGTATAGCATAAGCATAACAGCTCATGTATATTTTATTTATCCATGTTGTACATATAAGAAACTATAGGATGTGTATAAGTCCAACACAAGAAAATGTCGTTTTCTCCCGTCGATGCTCAGTGGGCCTCATAACTAGCAGTAAAAAAGAAGTGCTTATTTGTTATATTTACTTTTCATTTCCGGATACTTCACAGCTGTTTCGCGACTATGAGATGTCTTCGACTGCGTCTAACAGCGGCCCCCCTCAAAAAAAACAAGCACAAAAGTAAACGATAACTTCCTGCCCATAGAAAGATCCTGGCACCACTGATATGTAGGGCTGAACAACTTTCTGAGGTCAATCGCCATCGCTAACAAACTTAGGTTACGCTGGTGAGCAAACACGGTTTGTAAATATTAAGAAAAGCCCATATCCTTACATTTCGAAACCAGATAACCACCGATCAAACTCTTCAGCGGTCGTAACATTGACGCGCACTTTGGCGTAGAAGGCTGGGCAGTTTTCCACGCAACCTCGTTCCTCAAATATCACTACTTCGTGCATGAAGTCCGACGGCAGTTTCGAAAACAAAATGGGCGGAATCGTTGATCTGAAAATGATCGCCATGAAAAGCCCGCTTACAAACCAGAGTTGACGTCTGTCGTACCCTGAACGTGGCACGATATCGTATGGATCCGTTTCCGTGCCCATGTCACCGTCAGGACCCGCACCGGCGTTCTTGCCATTATCTTTAACTGAATCCTCGCAACTGCCAGGAATTGCACTTTTGCCGTTGTCGAGATAAATACTACAAAACGAAGTTGCAAAAAAAACATTAACGCACAGGGAAAAAACAAAAAATCAGACTTTTCTTGAGTCTCAGATTTAACACAAGTCCGCTTTTGTGTATATTGTGCGCCGACTTCAAGGTGAGGCCGTTTCTGGTTCTTCAGCGGATCCATCGTCCTGGCTTGAGCATCTGCTAGGTTTTGTGATACAATTTTTTCTATCATCTGCTGCTGTTCTTCCGGTGTGCCCACAACACTAAAAGACTGATTATGCAAAGCGTAATTATGAACAATTAATAAACATGGGTTTAATAATTTTGAATTTGTTTGCACCGATATTGCCGTGAGATAACTCAAACAGGAATTTCTGAGTCCAAGCCATTTAAGTAGGCCACAGCGCTATAAACTTTTACCACCTGTATATACTATACATGGAACAACTTCAAGCTGATATTTGTAAAACACAGACTTTTCCAAAGTCCTCGCACCTCGCATCATCCGATGCTTAGACGACAGAGACAAAAGAGCATTGTTGTTAGTAAAAATTTTACATCGCGCTTTGCATCGTCGATGAACCTCATTGTTGACAGATCGCTGCTTTGCTTCTTCCTCCGTTGCATATACTGTTAATGCAGATATCTTGTTTGAACACAATCCGAGTGGCATAGCCTTTACACTACGTGTTTACGTTGACTTTGAATACAGCTTTAAGAAACAACTCTTCAGAACGGTCATAACAGCATTACAGGTTTGACTCTAAAAACTTATATGCTTATCTCACCAATGGGATCGGCTGTGACTCAAACAAACTACATCCTCGCGGAACTACCCCAACACATTTAAACGTGAAAACAGTATGAAAAATGCTTTAACCCTAAAACCAACCACAGAAGATATAACTGGCACAAATACTGCCGTACAAAATGAATCGTACTAACAGCTATGACGGGATGAATGAAGTAAATAAAAAATCAGTGATCCTGCAAATGGTTTGGACTTGGAAGGTGGAAGAACAGGTGGAATCACTTCGAATAAATCTTCTCATGTTAATTAATAGATTTAGCATTAACTTTTTATTCACAAATCTGTCTCTTCTTCTTCATTGATTATTCCCTGCCTAATTATTATGCAACTTATTTGTTATCGCTTACTTGATACCAATCAATCAGTGATTGTAAACTCCTTTGACTGACTGATCTTAAATAACAAACGAAACATAAAACTTACCAATACAACTTTACCGGGGTGATTGAGAAAAGCTTCGGAAGTATCATTCGAGGGTGACTGACAGTGCTCATCGTTCAACCACGAACGTGTGCGAGCGCACACATATATCCTAAACATAATTAATAATCACGGCAACATAAACAAACGTAGTGGCTTTTAAACAACCACTTTGTAGACAAAACCATGGAGAAAAGAAAGAGGAGAAGACAACGTCGATGGTCAAAACCTGAAAATGTTGTTTATAATCTTGCCCATACTCGGCAAACATCTCATCACCTCTCTAAAGACCTAAACGAAGGAAGACATTATAGGTAATAATCACTATCACTATCAAGTTAACCCATTTCAACTTAATTAATCACTGTCGTTGAATCAGTAAAGAAAATGATTCTTTCCAAAACTGCCTACGGACAATGGGGATGCCAGAACTTCAAAAGGGAACGGACAAGTTGTTCGATGCGAATGTTTCACAGCCGCAATGCACTTTGAGCCGTTTGATATCTATTCTGATAATCGTAAAACGTTCTGTTTCCATACCCAATCGAAAGATTTTTTAAATGCCAATAAAATTTCTATTACAGAGACAAATTTAGAGAAATTTTATTTTCTGTTGTAGTGTGACTTTCAGCATTTTTAATATTTTTCACATTTACGTTTACCCCCTACGCTAAACTTTAGTTAGCTACCAGGAGAGTGACAGTGAATTCCATAGCGTGGCCGTATGTCTCACGCTCTAACATTAGAGCCCCGATACATCATGCAGCCTCTAGTCAACGACTATCTGTTTTTCAAATAGTTGCACCGAAGCATCGTGGGGCATATCCCTTGCTCAAGGAGATTCGAAGCTGACAATAGAAAATTTGTC